CCCTTTCCTCTTTCTTTCTTCCTTTCTCCCCTTTCCTCAACCGGTCATTTTCGCGCGGAATGGTCCGACGAAGCCCCTCCATCGCGCATGACCCACTCTACCCCTTGTGTTGGTGCAAGGTCCTCCCTCATCTAACTCCTTAATTAATTTTTTTAATTTTTTTCAATTATTTACTTAATTTAATTTGAAATTTTTTTGTTTATTTTTTTGATATTTTTAATTTAGTTAATTTATTATTAATTGTTAATTTAGTTAGTTTAATGGTTAAGAAAAATTTAGTTGTTATTAATTTTTGTTAATTATGAGAGTTTAATTGTTTAATTGTTAATTTTATTGTTAAAATTTTTTTATTGTTATTAATTTTTGTTGTTAATTTTATTGTTATTGTTATTAGTTTAATTGTTAATTGTTATAGTTAATCGGTAATTGTTAATTATTAATTTAGTTATTTTATTGTTAAATGTTATTTATTAATTTAGTTAGTTTAATTGATGGTATTTTGGAAAATTAATTATTTTAGAAAATTTTTAATAAGTTATTATAAATATTTAAAATTTTTAGTAATTACAAAAATAATTAGTCATTAAAAAATTGATAATTTTTGAAATTATATTTAGTAATTAAAAAATCAATTATTAATTAAGTTTATTTATTTGTTGATGAAGTAAAGGAGTTAAGTAATTAAAAAATTAATTAATTTTGAAATTTTATTTAGTAATTAAAAAATTAATTAGTAATTAAGTTTATTTAATTGTTGATTAAGTAAAGGAGTTAATTAATTACGAAATTAAGTAGTGATTAAAAAATTGACTTTCTTGTAAATTATATTTAGTAAGTAAAAAATTAATTAGTAATTAAGTTTATTTAGTTGTGATTAAAAATCTATTTTGGTCCGAGTAAAGGAGTTAATTAATAACAAAATTAAGTAATGATTAAAAAATTAATTTTTTTGTAAATTAATTTTTACTAATTAAAATTAACTTTATTTAATTATTGATTAAGTAAAGGAGTTAAGTAATTACGAAAAGAATTAGTCGTTAAAAAATTAATAATTTTCAAAATTATATTTAGTAATTAAAAAATCAATTAGTAATTAAGTTTATTTAGTTAAATAAACATTTTTGAATTTTTTCATGTTAATATGAATGTTATATATTAGTATTATACAATGAATATTTTATTTTAATACTAATGAATTTAATAATGTGTAGATTATAATGCCTTGAGGTAGGGGACGTTTTCGGATGCGGTGATCAATGTCATACGGTGAGGGTTGCGGTTTAGATGCGGATTCGGATAGTGATCATGGACGTGGACGCCATTCTCCTTCCTTTCCTGGTCGGATTGGAACCCCCATGGATATGCCTTTGTACCACCCTACTGGTGCCCCCACGATACACCTTTCGAGGCTCGACAAGTCCGAACTTGATCCATATCTTTATTATGGATCTTCATATCCCCAACCTTCTTTCCCTTCGTCGTTCTCGGTGCCCTCGTCATCACAACAAAACAACCATTCTATTCTTAAACAAGTCCTATCGCGGGACGTCCCTCGTTCATCGGCTTCAAAACCTATCAAATCCATGATCGATCAATGAGTTACGGTCATTCTCGTTGGTTGCAATGAGTACATTAATTGTATGCTTAATTTTATGAAATATATATTTTTTTATTACCATAATTATGTATTCATTTATTTGTTAAATTAATGTCTATTTTCAATTTTTCATATGTTGTATCCTTTTGATGTTTGTGCTCGTACGATCTACAAGACATTCCAAGAGTATGTTTATATTTTCGGATGGACGTGGAAGAACATGAGTACGGAAACAAAAGACTTCTACTAAAAAGAGTTTAAGGTACTAATTTATTTAATTAATTTAGTCCATTACTTCATATTTAAATAAAAAAATAATATTCAATTAAATGTACTAATGAATATTATTATTTTTCTTACGAAATCATTTATGTGGGATAATAACTTCGAGAGCAAAGTTAAGAAAATATGGAAAAGTCGACACGAAAGCGGTAGTTTGACTTTCTTTATTGTATCAAAGAAACGCGAAGCCAACATTTATCTCACGGGACATATGGGATGCATTGAGTACGGAATGGGCAAAACCTAAGGCCATTGCTCGATACGAGATGATGATGCGAAACCGTAGGAGCGAGACTAGTGGCATACGAGTTGGTTCTTCAAGACATACGAGAGGGTTGTTCGGCCATAGAAAGAACACAATACGCATAGTGTAAATATGTATAATATGTTTTATAATGATATTAAAATAATTAATTACATAGTTGAGTATATTTAATACATTTATGTTTATTTATTTCGGCGTGAGGTGTTGGGTCGTGAACACGACCCTCACGAGGTTTTCTTTAGGACTCATCGAGAGAAAGATTGATGATCAATATGTCTTTGTCAATCAATGGTCAAGATTTATCGATGTAAGTTAATTACTTTATAATTTTATTTCATACATATTAATTTATAACGTTATTTCACACGTATTGTTTAATATTATGTCCTTCACAATTATGTAGGAGACCATAGAAAGATTAGTAAATAAGGAAGAGGTTGCTAGTCGACGGACGGGGGACTTCATCAACCAACATCAACATCAATGAGATTTTTAGAAAGGTAGTTGGTGGAGGAGATAATAAGAGGAAGAGGATGTATAGAAGTGGGTCTCACGCATTTCACTATTACTCTAACGTCAATACGACCTCCGGTTCGACAACTTCACTCGGTCTATATTAGTGATAAGGCACAACGAAAAGAAAGCGAAGATTAAACTATTGAAAATACGTAAGAGATCCGGGAGTTACGAGTACTATCAAAACATTGTTGGCTAAAACAAATGAGTTGAAGGAGTAAACTCGATAACAACATATGATGATGACACGGATGCGGCGGATGTTCGTCGCGACATTTTCAGCAAGGTGGCAATTCATCCATCATGCGTAACACCGACGATGACTCCACCCAACCTTCGATTATTCCATCCAACCTTTGAGTGACGATCCTGTTAATCTCTCCTAGCTATCATGTAATACCGACAAACTTTCTATTTTTCTCAAGAATTTAACAAACTTTCCATCCAACTCGTCGTCGCTAATTCTTTTTTTTTTTTTGTAGTGTAAGCTTTTGGGTGTGATGGTTTCTTGACATGATATCGAGCCTCGAAAAGACCGTTAGATCCCGGAGTCCAAGCCATTTGACGGACCCCAAAAGATGGGATGTAAGTGAGGAGGAGTGTTAAAACACATATCCCACATTGAATAGTTAAACCAATAATGAATAATACATAAAGTTGAGAGAGGGCCACCCACCATAAGGCTTAAGTCTTTTGGATGGAACCCAATCTCAACTATCTAACTCTATATGGTATTAGAGCCTTAATGACCAAACGATCACGAATTCGAATCTTACCATCCCTACTATCTCTTCTAATTAATTAAGCACGGGATAATGTAGACTCGTGCAAGTTCAAGCCCTTTCAAGCCTTCACTTTTGGGTGTGATGGTTCCTTGACAAAGATAACTCCGGGACGACAACAAAGTAAAAATGAGTCACAATCCATAGTTTTTTAGTCTAAAGGAATAGTATACACATAGAAAACTTGTTCATCCGTTTTAGTATTTTTGTTAGTTAGTTAATGTGTGTGTGATATATATATATATATATATATTACACAAGGAAACCTTATAATTTAAACAAACATCACACAACTTGTCAAATCTCAATTTACGAATACAAAACAAACTTCTAAGTTGTCGATGCAAAAGGATTAAGGTAACCACAAATCAACCTCTATGGAGAAAGTACCACACATATCAAATCTTAAACTCACATAAGTTTGACATAGAAAATTCTACAAATATTAGCTTGATCCAAAAATGCAACATGCACCTTTGGGTTCAAATCAGCCACTTCTTTATTTTGTCTTCTCATCGAGAAAACATGACTCAATAAATCCCTAGCAAAGCTGCAATTTTCAAATAAAAACTCTGTATTAGTGCATTTTTTGAAGCAAAATAGATTGTTTTTCTCTTGAGACACATACAAACTTTATTAAGACCAGATCTAAACTAAATCCGCATTAATCTTCAAAATCAAATAGATAAAAATTACAAGAGAGATTTAGTAAACAAAACAAGTAAACTAATCATAAATTATCCTCATTTGATTCTCAACTTCCGATAGAAATTAATGCACCACTCTCAGCCTTCCAATCAAAGATTGGCAAATGTTTAATGTATAAAAGATAAAGATAAGTTATAATATAATAAATTTTATTCAAGAGTTGAGTTTTCGTACAAAGCAACTACTTGTATCCTGTTTCTCTTTAAAAAAAAAAAAAAAAAAAGCAAGAAAACAACCTATACCCTACTTATACGGATTACATACAACAATAAATTAAGCTTTTTTTTAAATGACTAGAACTGTGAAAAGAAAGTTGCTGGAAAATGTGAAAGATGATTGTAACAAATTTACGTCATTCTTTTCTAACGCATAGCTAGCTGAGTGCTTTACTTCTTAAATCCAAAACTAGAACAACATAAAAAAGAAAGCTTAGAAACCTATATATGAATAATTTAAAGCCAAATCCAGGTAAACTTCACCCTTATTTTCCTCATTTCTACAACGGAAAATTCTCACTTTATCTCTCACTATAACTTTTCAATTCTCCCTTCTTTTCATTCACTCCAAACACGTTTTAATCTTGTCTTTGATATCTAATTTTAATTAGAAAGGCGAATCTAGTTTAGTGAGCAAAAACTAGATCAGAAATACCATCGAGATAATCATATATATACTTACACACATATGCTATACATATGAACAAACACATTTGAATAAACAACTGTGAAAACATAGTTGAGCAAGGTATTTCTGTAGTTCATGCATGGACCTAGATTAGTTTATATCTTATAATTCAAAAATGGCATTAAATAGGCATATATACCTTGGTTACTTTTCTGCTTGATCCAGCTCACAGGTCATTTTCATTGTTCATCTCACGTGCATTACTTTCATTCTCCAGTTGAGCATTTCTTGCAAGCAGTTGTGCATTGCTTGCCTCCAGTTGTGCATTGCTCGCCTCCAGTTGCATAATTCTTTCTCCAAGCTGGATCTCGCGATTGGACAGAGTCTGCAAAAATAAATAAATAAATAGTGTAAACCTGGGTTCAACAAGTCCTCTCGTGGGCGAAGGTCTTTGGGTTTTGCAATTGGAATAAGATTATAAGTTCATTATCTTCTTTCTTTCTTTTTTTTTTTTTTTTGTTTTTGGGAAAATAAGCCCATTATCTTAATGAGAAAATCAATTTTAACAATGGAAACTTTTATAGGCTTCAATGTTGGACCAATCCAAATTGCTTGTTTTGGAGCAAATAACATGACAAAAACAAAAGGTAAAAAGGAGAAGGAGAAGTTCTAAATTCATTGATAGAATATAATGGTTAGCAATAAAGGTGATATGTACTTATAGGTTGGTAGGATAGAAACGAAATTTTTTAGCAAGAGCATGCAGGGTAGATTCGATCATATCCTATCAGTTTATTGTGAGTCGGAATATTTTCAGTTTAGACAAATAAAATGATGCCAATTAACGGGTGCATATTAGTGGTTTGACGAATAAACCGCGCGGAGAAGAGAGAAGGAAATACTTACCAGTACATGCATGGAAAGGTCTGTAACCTTGTCAGTCAGTTCATTGATCTTGTCTTTCAAGTAGACCAAACTTTTCTTTAGACGCTTGACAGACTTTTTCAACGAAGCGCAGCGGTTCTTCAAGCAGACGTTTTCATCGTCCAAGGAGGTGTGTGCATCCTTCAGACGTTTGAATCCATAATCAATTTTCCTCCAAGTATCTGAAAATTCCAAACATAGAGTTGCTATCAGAATAAATGAATCCAAAATTAATGGTAACATCTCAGAACAAAACCAGTTGCCGTATTACACTGCCAGTTAGACAGCCGGCCAGAAGATGGACAAGAACGACTACAGGAAAAGGCGCCCTCGTCTTTTTCATATGCCTTTGGGTTTTAATATGACCTACCATGGGAAAAAATCTACTCCAGAAGTAAAAAATTTGTCAAATTCAATCTAGAAAAAATATTTTCTAACCCACCTTGCTGCTTCTGTTATGGTTAATAACATGAGACTCAGGACGCGGCTCCTAAATTTCAGGCCAACACGCCCTCTCCTTGGAGGGTGAAGTTGGATCCTAATGGAGTTTTCCTCTCAAGCTTATGTGCGCATATATATATATATATAGAAGCTATTTTTTAGGCTAAAGTTTGTGGATGATCAAATTTCTGAAACAGATATATTATCATAGGCTAACTAGAAGCTATATACTGAAAAGTTGTGAATTAAAACAAAAACTAGTTGAAGCTTCTGGTTAGCTTGCGATAATCTTTTTCAGATTTGAAAATGTAATCAAAATCAAGACACATGTAGCCTTTGGTAAGAAGATTTTTATTATTTTGGATAACTGATAAGCTAATATGTATTATCACAGTGCTGTAAGCCATCAAGACTCATGCAGCTTTCCAGTGCTTGAATATATTTGTAAAAGGCCATCCCGAATCGGTCTGCTCAACAAGGCTTTTCACTTGATATTTAAAAAAAAAAAAATTGAAATCCTATGTTTCAAAAAGTTCACCAAATCAATGACACGCTGTGCCAGGTTTATGGGGGATTTGTAATATTGTTCATTTTAGGCTGTTGAAAAAATGGAAACCCTAAAATGGTAATAATTTCCCTTTCTTTTTCTCTTTTTTCTCTCAAGAGAAGATTAAGGGGCAAAAAAAAAAAAACTTACCCTTAGCATCGGAGAACCTTGAGTTAGACATCGGACGCACTGTTTTGATACGATCTAACGAAAAGGAAACCGAAATTAGAGATCAACTTAGGAAAAGTTTAAAATGATACAATATTTCGAGGAAGAATAGATATGTTCAAATAAAATTAGGAACTAAGCTTGATGATCAAACAGTCACAGATTTTGTTTTTCTTTTCACATATACTACCTGAGCTGGTGATGGGTCGGTCGGTCCCAGAAATGGGCGGTGTCTGAGGAGGTAATGACCGGCCGGTGTGCTGATACCTGAGAGTGATGAGTCACTAAGCAATCGTCAAAGAACAGAAAATATGAGCCTGCATAACCTAATTAAAGACGAAGTATAAAACGGAAATATGTGTGGAAGCAATCGCAAGAACTCGGGAGATGTCGAAATAAAACGCTGCGTAAGCGCTCGACACCGCACCTTTAGCGTCTAATCCATGTCGGAAAGGGAATAAAGCTTGTGTTACTATTTAATGATGGGCGTTTCTTAGTTCACTGGTACTCGGCACTTATTAGAGTTACGAGAGCCGCCTTTGCTGACTTAAGAACAGGATAAATTAAGTGTGAAAAGTTTCTTGTTTTTTCACGTCATCATGATCTAGGCAGTGCACTTTCTGCATGGTCGTCCCAAATTTAATTGGTTGGGTAATCTTTTATGTTTCTACTGGTTAGTATATTATAGAAACAAGTATTGATCCGAGCAAGTGATGATGTGGTCCAATTGCACACACCGGACTAGGAACGAGTACCAGGTCTGAGGGTGAGAACAAATCGTTTTAACTATGAGGTTAAATCTTTAAAATTAAGATGTAGTAGTAATAATAATATCAGGCACTCAATTACCAAACTACTCTAATTTTCCTATAAAAGAAACATTAATTGATTTCCATTGAAATATGCACTACTCCTACATTTATATATTCTAATTAAATCGAACTTTTCATATATAATACTGTTTTAAGAAAATTAAAGTAGCTAATATTTACTTATGAATTACCATCCATGTAGCTTGAATAGGATTTTAGAAATAAAACTTCAGTAAATATTGCTATACTTTACAGAGATTGAAAGTCTAGCTATCATTATCATTATATCATTGTAGTTTTTTGTTTTTAAAATTTGAAAATCAACTTTTAAAAAATAGAGAATTAAAGAAAAATAATGATAAGGGAAAAAGAAACCAAAAAAGGGCAACCATATCAAAGGACAGCCAACCATACTCTTGAAATATATATCTTCCCAACTCTCTTTCTCTTGAAGAAATTAAAGAAAGGAAAAAAAAAAAAAAAAAAGAACGACGACGGTGACAACAACAAATGCTCTGAGGATCCACCACCTAAGATATCAAAAATGATTTAGTTGAAGAAATTTGTTACCATCATTAACATTTAATAGAAGACAGATTGTTTCGCATTAAGTGCCAAAATATGTCAAATTTCAAGGAATTAAATTAAAATGACTCAAAACCTCAACTAAACTCATGATATCTCCGAACTTTAAGGACATAAATTGTATCTAAACTAAAGGAAAAATAGTTTACCAAGAAAACCTCCAAATTCCAGGGAGGACAAATTGTAGCTTACCCACTTAATTGATACCGGTCGGTTGGATCTAAACTCAGAATAAGCCAAGAAAAAAAAATTGCAACAATTGTCTAGTTGAAAAAAATAAATGATTTAATATTTTTAATAAGTAATTTCTGTAAGAAAATTATGTAATAATTACTCATCTAATTAAAAATTGATCAAGATTGTGCTGGAAGTGACATAATTACCACCTACATAGGATATAGCTACTTCTATGTATAGTTGTGCAATTTGAGTAGCTACTTCTATGTATAGTTGTGCAATTTGAGTTGTACCTCCCAATTGGAGCATCACACCGCCTGTCACCGGACATATCACCCGAAAGGAAAACCTTGTTTGTCGCAATTCCGGCATGTTGTGTCTTTTCTAACATCACAAACTGGGCCAGATTTTGTTTCTTTTCTTACATCTTGTGATCCCAGCTGACGTTACTCTCACCCCAGCAACTCCATCTCTGAGATTTTTGAGTTCCCGCATCTTCTAGCTGTGGTGAAGTGGATAATACACCCGTCTTGATTATTTGATTTCCATACTTAAATTTCCTCCGCTTTCAAATATTTATTTGCCTTCCTGCACATTGTAGAAGCAAGAGTAACAGAGAAAGTAAGAAATCAAGAGTGAGATCTATAATTGAACTATGTACAGGAAACATACTGCTTACAGATATGCACAAAAGCTTCCTGGATATATGAACTACCATCCGGTCTCTTCATTACCAGTATAACATACACACTGACACTCAAGTTCATGATGCATATTGTATGTGGATTCAACTTTAATAAATATAGCAATACTTAGTACAGTGAGTCTTTGATGGTGTTTTATGCGGAAGAAAGCACATTAGAAATTGTAAAAAATTTGGATTCTCACTTGAAGATTTCACATTTGAACTCTTGTAGAGGTATCTTCACACACACACACACAAAAAAAAAAAAAAAAAAAACTCTTGTAGATCGAGGTGAGGGAGTCTAGGGATAAGAGAGAGCTGTTACTATACTGTGCAATCCATTGGCTGGGGGAAATTATGATTAAAGAATCATTGACGAAGACTTGATAAAATAAGACAAATAGGTAGACATAGTTCTGTGTGGACATCGGCCAGGACTTGGATTGGAAAATTACATTGCCTGGTAGGTCTTTGATCTCTGTGATAACAACAAAAATGAGATGTGGGGCATTATAATATTTTCATTTCAGTACATGTATAAAAGATCTTCTATTGGAGTATCTGTACTTTCAACAAATGATCAACTAAGTGCTTTAATTAAGATTAAAACTCTTTGTTACATAATGGCTGAAAATTGAACACAATCAATTTTTTTAAGTCAGTCAAAAAATAATAATCTTAGGTCTTAATGAAAGTATTTAATTGGTCGATTTTTAAAGTATATATATTTTCTAACAGAAAACCTTTTAGTACACGCTCTGAAAAAAAAAGAAGGAAGTATATATATTAACTTTATGGCTATTACAATAAAATTAAAAGAACTGAGAAATTTCAACAGTTATTTACTATTCATTCATGGCAGCTGCAGACTTAGCTGCACTATGGACGAAAGCATAGTTTTTTTGTAATTCTTCTGACTTTTGGTGGACAATATGGAAATTATGAATCCACTCCCCCAAATCCAATGCATCCAAACGGGCATAAGCAGAAAGCGCAACCACCATGGCAATTTCATCAGGCTCCACATTCTCAAGCTACATTCTTCGAAACACGGCAATGGCATCGTGGGGCCGATTCGCTTAGGCATACCCAGTAACGACAGCTATCCAGGAAATAAAATTTCTTTGAGGCATACGTTCGAATAAACCTCGAGCATTATCGAGGTCACCAAGCTTAGCATACCCGTTAAGCATTGCATTCCATAAAGTCACATCTCCAGTGGTCATGCTCATTTCATCAAACAGCTTGCGAGCATCAGAGTTGCTAGGAGAGCCAAAAGAGGAGTACATCCTGACCAAGGCAGTAAGGACGTGAAGATGAGAATGGTGGCCAAAGCAAATGGATTGAGAGTGAAGTTGCCTTCCAGTGACGGCTTTGAGGGCGAAAGGGACGGAGTAAGTGTCGGGTCACAAGCCAGCAAATTGGATGTTATTGTAAAGAAAGATAGAAGATTTGAGGTGCGGAGGAGAGCAAGAGAGAGCGTTGGTGATGGTGTTGTAGAGATAGATATCGGGGGAGTAGGTAATGGAGGCGAAGACAGAATAAGCATAGGAAGAGAAGCCAAGAGAAGAGCAAGCGTGAATGAATCGGCTAAGGAGGAGGTTGTTTGTATCGAGGGCTCTGAGAAGCATGAAGGCATGTGTCTGGTGGATGTGTTTGAGATTAGAGGAATGGGTGAGTATGGAATTCAAAACGGATGATGATGATGATGAAACAAGGGAGGTGCAGGCGAGGAGGAGCATTTCTGCTTTGCCTTGCTTGGAATTCAATTAACCACCCCAGCCCAGTCCTGCCCTGCTCCGCAAAGGGGAAGACAGAAATTCCTCAGTTTATAACCCAATTGTTTAATTAATGTATCTACTTTATTATCAACTGAGTCTTAAACCTATGAAACATGTTAGATTCCATCAATTTTACTTCAAACCATATGACTCACTCAGGTCAAAACAAGTCCCAATCTCTTTTGTTATCTCAAAACAAAACAGGGTTTTTAATCTCGAACTAAAACTCAAACTCAAACTCATGATTGATAATTGATTTCCTAAATAGTAAGTTAGTCAGTCAGTCGGTGAGTCAGTGAGAAAGAAAAGAAAGTGGGGGGCCTGGGGGGAGTGCGGGTAAGAGTGGACGAGAAAGCTGTTATTACCACTAGCAAGTCAAAAGAGTGATAATAAATAGTAGTAAATATGACGAAGATGATTAATTCGATCGATACTTTATTCGGATTAACAACCAAATATATATCAAGACTTTATATATATATATATATATATATATATATATATATATATATAATACTAATTATTTATTATTTATTTTTTTATATTTTAAAATCTTTATTTTTAAATAAAATAATTTAAATAATATATTAAAACAATCTTTCAATTATTCAAATACAAATTTTATGGTAATATTATTAATTATTTTATTAATAAATATATATAAATTAAATAATTTTATTTAATATATAGATTTGATTTATATTAATTATTAAAAATAAAATTTTTATTCGCATTGCACTATACGAATCATTAAGTCCGAGTATGTAATGATTGTCTAATCACATCATAATGCATATGTCTAACTAGTCTCTTTCTCAAACAAATGAATACCAATGAAAAATTAAACAACCACAGTAATTAATTTATAATTAATTCTATTTAATTAAGATATGAATATGTTAAAGTATAAACTATATATCTTACGCGAAAACTCGCACATGTTCATAACATAATATCTTATTTTGTTGCTAAAATAAAAATATGGCAAAAATACCCCAATGATGACCATAGACAACCTTCCATGTGGCAATTAGTTTTTGTGCAGACATCAAATAAATTAAGCGTGTTGACCACCTTAAACATGGGCTTCTTAAAACTCGATTTCCTACACACTAGACATACACAATCAAGTATTAGGTCATATGACTCGATAAAGGAAGAGATGCGTCATTAGATTCCGTTTCAGAAAAAATTTACATCTGTCAAGAATTGCCAGCTCACGGAAAAAGAAAAAAAAAGTTCTTTTTTTCAAACTAGAAAAAGTCCCAATAATTAAGACAGCATATAATTAACCAGATATAGAATTATTTTGGACTACAAAAAAGTCTGTCAATTTTTTTTTATTTCTTAACCATTTTTTAAAAGTACAAGTTGTTTTTAAATTATTTAAGTTTTTTAATTTTTGAACTTCAAAAATTCTAATGGTTGAGCATTTTTTATTCGAAGAAAATTAAAATTTAGTATTTCTTAAACATTTTGAAATTCTAATTGTTGAATATTGTTAGAATTTTTGCTTCTTAAAAAATATTTGATTTTTTTAACCTTTAAAAATTTTCAAATCTTTTTATTCTTTTAATATATAGTGCCCATAACAAATGAAACAAGTCAATACATGGATGACTTCCTAAGAAAACAACAAAAACCTGCTATCTCATCTTCTTCTAATTAAAATTTATGCAGCATGTACATAGTAATATATTTACCATCTTTTGTAATTGTTATTATGCATGGTTAATATTCTCACATGTCTTTTTCTAATTGGTCAAAATTTTAATGTCTCAAAAATTAAAAACTCCTCTATTATATCTCTATTATTTGAGCTGATTTTTAATTTGTCTTTTCGATCAATTTTTTCGTCCAAACCAACAAAAAATATCGCATGATCTACATATGTCTTTTTCTTTAACAAAAATACCTCTTACAACTTAACATGTTAAATTTTCAATCTATTCTTATGAATTGATTGAGTTTTCAATGTATCCTTAATGCTAAGAAATCCATTATATTACTGTTATTAATTTTCTTAATAATGTGTTGAACTATAGTGAATTTTTTTGTTAATTAAAAATATATAAAAATAATTAGTACAAGTTAGTATGTAATTGTTAAAGAAATTAAAAATACATTTAAGTAATTGTTAATTAGTCTCTTAAGTATGTAATTAAAAAACAAATAATTATATTTAAGTAATTGTTAATTAGTCTCTTAAGCATGTAATTAAAAAATAAATAATTACATAGTTTCTTTACCTACATTTTTTTTTTTTACACACGATTAAAATGTTTTCTTTTATAAAAATGATTTAACATGTTGGTAAATATTATATCAACTTGTTCAATATTATACATTAGTGAATTATTATAATAACAATAATATAATGAATTTTTTAGCATTAAAAAGATGTTAAATAAATTTTTTTGAATAGTTACATAATAACTTGTATTAATTAATTTTATATATTTTTAATTAATGAAGAATTTGGAGCACATTATTATAAAATTTAATAACAATTATACAATAGACTTTTTAACATTAATGACAGATTGGGAACTCATCTTATTATGTAATGACAAATTCAAAACTTAACATATTAAGCTGCAAGAAGCATTTTTGTTAAAGAAAAAATCATATGCAAATCATGTGACATTTTCAAGCGATTTGGCTATAAAATTGATTGAAAATATAAATTGAAAATCAGATCAAATAACACGAATGTAATAAAGGTGTTTTGAACTTGGCTTGTTATATAAAGACAAAAGAAGATTTTAACCCTTGTTATCGGTAACCCTGGATTATTTTGAAGATTTTTTTTATCTTATCATATTATTATAATTCGTTTGAAAATAAAATGAAATAAAAATATAGTTATAATAATATGTTAATTGTTGTTAATCTACGTCCATATTATTGCCACTAAATTGGCTTGTATTGTTTTATAATTAACAAAAATACTAAAATGAATTGTTTACTATTTACTTTACTATTTATAGTACCATTTACCTAGACTTAGTTTATTATTCATCAAGATTCATTTGCACTAATCTTTTCACTATACCGTGACATTCATTATAAAAAAAAGTAACAATTAGTGACAGATTTTTCCATCGCTAAAGTCGTTTAGCGACGAAATTATGTCCATCGCTAAAACAATAGTCGCTAAACTTAGCGACGACGAAAAACGTTTCGTAATAAAAATTAAAACTTTCATTGCTAAATTGGTCGTCACAAACCATCTTATTAAGCGTAGCTATTTCGTTGCTAGGATCGTCGTTTAATGACCGATATGTCATCGCTAATATCCAAAGCTAATGAAATCTATCACTAGACCATCGCTAAAGGTCAAAGAAATCCATCGCAATTTTGTTGCCATCGGCATGGAAATTTTTCGATAATCCATCGCTATTTTATCGCTAATTATATTATAAATTAAATATTAAAAAAATATCTTTTACATTTTGTTTTTTGTTTGAAATTAATAATATTCTAGGTAGTAATTAAGAATTAGAAGAAACAATGTATAATTTAAATATTATAAATTAATATTTAAAAAAATTAGTAGTATGTATGAAAAAAAACAAAATAAAAAAATGAATTGTCACTCCCGATTGTCATTTTGATCTTCTAATCCCCTATCCTTCTCTTAAGGCTCAAGAGGGGCTAAGCGAGAGGCTCGGTTAATAGTGGAGTCCCGATCGGTAAATGAATCTATAGACAACCCAAACACTCGTGCCGGTCTAATCAACATGAAGGCCATCATCTCGTACTAAGAATTAAGCCTATGTATGGTACTCTGTCTGCTCCGTGATAAGATTTTAAAGCTCGTGTTATTTGATTTGCATCCCTTTCATCACCTTTTTTGTCTTTTTGTATCGCCTCCGAACCTCCTTATTAGAAATGTCATCGGTATAATGCGACAACATAGAGGAGGAGCTATCGCCACTCGACTAGGATAGATAATGCACTCGCCTGTATACCTACATTATATACCCTCTTCTTTTTCTCCTTTACGAGTCTCAAGGTATATGACGTTCTTATCAACCTCCGACTCCGGGATTTCTTCCGTTGGTCGCATCATAACATCTTTTCGTATGAGCTTTTCAACACACTCTTGTGTAATTGAAAAAATGATATCATTAAAAGATTAAAATAAATTTTAGATTATATTTGCATATATAAAATATAAAATTGAAAAACACTTACCATTGTTTGTTGAAAGTGTAGATCGACTAAAGAACCATCTCATCGCTTGTGATTCATCTAAAACATTTCAAAACTCATTGGCTCATGGCTCAATCTTGCCTCCCGAAAAAAATGAATCATAAATAATATAAGATGAAAATTTAAATTTTATGAAACATGTAATTAATAATAAAAGTACACAATTTACCAAGCAACGAGCATGCTTTTTCGAAAAGATAGAGCCCCATGTATGCCTCCACGTTGATCCATCGATGTCTAATCACTCCTTAAAAGTCATAGTTATCTTTATGGCATAATCTCTACTAGGTGGAGTGAAACTATTGAACATAAAAAAATTAAAAAAATAGTCAAAATTATTAAAAAAATATATTGAATTAAAAAAATGATTACATCAATTTTAACTAATTACATACCACCCTCGAGCAATGGAAATATACCACTAACTAGAGGAGCTCCGGGAATTATCCGAAAAGCTAAACACACCGATGAGTGGTGCACTCTCTAAGTTCGGTGCTAGAACCTCTCATACAGGTGTGAGAACCTCTAATATTGGTGTAAGAATCCAAGGGGTGCATCCGTATGCTCGGAGTCACTATAGATGTGCTACCTCTATGGATACGAAGCCGCGGAACCCACGTAAAACCCCTATAGTCGGAGATCCCCGATTGATGTTGGTGGGTGATCCTAATAGGCTACCATCGGATAGTGATGCTCATCCA